AAAGGGTCGGGGGGGGGGGGGGAAATGTTATCTCTATAACACTTTACAATAAGGTTCTGATTGTTAACATTACTCAACTACATTAGTTAACATGAACAATGAAAATACTTGTAAAGCATTTATTAATCTCAGTTCATATTCATTTAACATTTACTAATACATTGTTAAAAAAAGATTAATAAATTCTGTAACAAATATATCGCTCATTGGAAGTTAATATTAGTTAATGCATTAATTAACCTTGTCGTATGCTCACCCCAAAAAAAAAAAAAATTTGAAAAATGTAACTTTTCTATTTTTATTACACTTTATAATGCATTTATTATATTTTTAAAATGTAACAATTTTTTTCAGAATTTTTGAAGAATAGAACGTTTAGAATTTAAAATACGAATCTTTGTAACAGTATAAATGTCTCCACTGAACTTTTGATCAATGTTACAAAATAAATGCAGCTTCTTTGATCTTTGTTGAATCCTGAAAAATACAACGTATCACGTTTTCCACAAAAATATTGTGCAGCACAACGGTTTTCAACATTGATAATAATCAGAAATGTTTCTTGAGCAGCAAATCAGCATATTAGAATGATTTCTGAAGATCATGTGACACTGAAGACTGGAGTAATGATGCTGAAAATACAGCTTTGATCACAGAAATAAATTACATTTGAACACATTCACATAAAAAACAGCTGTTTGGAATTGTAAAAATATTAGTGGTTTTCCCGTAAAGAGTGCTGTATCCAATAAACACTTTGTAGACTCTCTCCAAACTTTTGAATGTTAGTTAATTCGAGACCTTCGTATGCATTTGAATGAAGCGTCGGCGCACCTCTCTCTGAAACCTCTCGAGCGTCAGCTTCCTCTGCATCTGATCCTGAACCCACGCATCCGCCGCGTACTCGCCCTCCAGCAGAGACCGCCAGCAGTTCCCAGCCTCCCGGTTCGACTTCATCAGGACGATCCGGATCAACTTTCTGTCCTCTGAACGGCACGACAGACACATAAAGGTTTTGCATGCATGCACTATTTACTCTGACATGAAATTGTTCAGTGGCTTTCAGCGTCACCTAACGTCCACGTCGCTTCATCGCCGACTGTGGGTCCAAACAGCTTCCCCTGTGAGACGACAGAAAACTGAGTTTATAAATTAGAAGTAGCTGAGAGTTTCTATTAGCATCATGTACCTCAGAGGGACGTTTCACACGCCTGTGCCACACGAACGCCACTCATCCAGGCCGAAAAATGTGATTAGGTATTGTGTTGATATGACAAAAAGTCACCTAATAACAAAACGGTCCTTCAGAGTAACTGGGGTTTTTAGTCCTACTGGGACAATTTCATTTTCTATTTTTTATGTGAATTCCTCTGAGAAACTATCACAACCTCCTCTGCTCGGTTGTTAAAACATCAATATTCAGCACATTTATGCATGCAGACAATTAACCTTCTTTTGTAATTATTTGTATTCAAGTAAAAAACAATTTTTTTTAAAAAAACGCAGATTTTTTTTTATAAAGTTGCAATTGAACGTAAATAGTGACAGATGTTTTCTTCCATAAAATAACTTAAACTAAAACAGAAATTAAAATTAATAAAAACTATATAGACACACTATACAGGGTTTCCATTTCATGTCCTCTGTAAAGTGACACTTTCCCCGATTAATATTCCTATTAAACTCATTATTACAATATTAATATTTAATAATGTGTTGCCCCCAAATCTCATATATCATA